AATAAGCTTTTATCATTGGCAGTTTTTCGAAATCAGCTGTTTTTTAGAAAGTGTGGTGTCCAATGAAGCGACTCACAATACAGCAGTGGCAGCTGCCAGTACTGCTCAGTTTAGCCCAAATTCTAAATTCACTGCCACTGCCTTCATCGCAGCAAACTTCGCATGCTGAATTTGACATAAATAAAATGCAGCCAACTTCTGTTCATGTCACTGAAGCCTAAAAGATTACAACAAAAATGTAAACAAACAAAAGGGAATGTCAAGAAAAGCTGTCACTGACAACGCTGTATTGTATTTTCTGCGGCAGTGCCTGCCAATATTAGCAGTAACGGCTGATTTTAAAAACTGTTACTACCACTGCCACTGCTCTATTGTATTTGTAGAAATTTCTTTACGAGTTCGCGTCAACCACTTCATATAATTTTCTTTGAGAATTCCTAAAAAAATCGTTACAGAAATGAGATACTCCTAACGATTTCCTTAAGATTTCGGGAACTTTGGTTTGCAGGGTTTCTGCATATTTTTAGTTGTATGCGCATTTATTTCATCAACGTTTTGTTAAAATATACTACCGCTTGGCAAATCCTAATATTTAACTTAGTCAATCTAGACCAATATTGTGAACACCTTATTAGCTAAATATCTCACCGTGTAAATACACCTCTGCGCTTCATTAAATTTCCGTCGCCATTTCAACAGTGCCGCGATTGCTTCCGTCGAGTATGTGTTAAAATTTCTGAAAATTCTAAAATTCGCGTTCAATATAGTGAAAAGTGTAAGTTTGTTTTTAATTAACGAATTGCTTTAATTAGCAAATTAGATAAAAAAAATGCGGGAGCAGTGATTCGATGCGGTGCGCGAGTGGCTCGGGCCAGCCCGAACAAAAGTTTTTATGTAATAACATTGAAGGTAGTTGTGCAATCTTCATCTAATTTGGTGAAAGTTATAAGGTGAGTGAATTGAAATAGCCAAAGAATTATATGTGTAGATTATATGTATGTAAATGGTTGGCTTCCTATTTTTGCATGTTTAGAAAATTAGAATCAGTATAGTGTTGGGGTTTTTGTTGGTCATCATTGATCACCCTATATTTAATCCCAATTTATGTTCCCTTTATAAATCCCAAGTAATCACAAAAAACTTAATTTGGTTCGATGGCATGAATTTAGGCGCATGTCGGAACTGCTTACAGCCAACAGTGTTTGTTAAATTTGTGTAGAAGCAGTGTGAACAGTTTGAGAGGCTGTATATTCATACAAAGGTGGTGACATCATTAGGGACACTACTTTTTCTTAAGTTTTGATCATTTATTTCCCATTATTTATTTTAAAATTACTTTTTTTTACAAAAATGTAGTTTATACTACCAGAGAAGTTGCAAATTGGTATTCATTGGGATTGGTATTCATACAGGGGTGGCGACATCATTAGGGACATTACTTTTTCTTAAGTTTTGATCATTTATTTCTCTTTATTTATTTTATATTTACTTGTTTTACAAAAATGTAGTTTATACTACTAGAGAACTCATACCAGGGATGTTGTGAATATTTGCATTCGCATTCGTTATGCGAATGATTCGCATCATTTTACGCATTCGCATTCAAATGCAAATGCATCAAATGATACGAATGTTTTGCGAATGCGAATGTGTGCATGGGCAGAGTCCACTCTAATATTATTGAAATAGCTCTAAGTCTGTCTAACCAGGGTGCGGGCAATAACTGGCTTTTAGCTTCAGGCGCTAAACGGTTAAGTAGTATATCAAGTACTGCTAAAAGTAAACATTAAAAAATGTGAAATTAGAGCTGAATTGAAGACCTATCTTAAAGACAAACGAGCTCATCTCGCTGAAAATCCTCTCGATTGGTGGAAAAGGTTCTTAAAAAAAGGTTATTGTTCGAGTGAGAGGTTGAAAATAATTTGAATGAGTTTAATATTATTTGTAATCTGCTTTGTGTCACATCAGTGTTGGCATTTTTGGTAGAATTGTACTTTTTTATACAATTTTGTTTACAATATACTTTCCTACTACGCAGTACTTATTAGTACAATTTTGTATTGGCTACTATCAATATATAGCTCTGAAAACTCACTGCGGGGAATTTTTTGATTCTCTTTTTGTGTTCGCTTTCTCGTTTTTGCCTTTCTAAGTTTTGAAATCTTATTAAAACAAAATATCGAAATCAGTTGCATATAGAAACAATGTCATCGTTAATTAAGAAAGAGATGTTCTTAAATATCATAACTTATGACATTCACATATTGACTAGATTTGACTATTTATTTTATAATTTTATAATTTTTTAATTTTAATTATTTTTTTATAAAAATATATTTTATTCCTAAACAAACACTGTATGAAAGTAAGTTTAAATCCTTGAACAACATTAAAAAATATGACAAACTTCCGTAAAAATTTCGAGCTTTCTAATTTCTTTCTTTAATTTGAAAAAGGTTTCACTTAATTTGAAAATGATTTAATTTAATTTGAAAAACGTTTCATTTAAACTGAAAATGCTATAAGTATGTTAGACGATTTTTTTTAATGAAGAAATGGAGCAAAACCTCCATAAAAAAAAATATATGTTCCATCGGAAAGGCAAATTATTCGCAAAGTGGCCCGTAATTATTAAATATAGATTCAAAAATTGTCACGCTGTATAACTGGCACAATTTAAAAATCCTTTAGTGTCTATTTGTCTTCTACCCAGCATTGAATTTCACTAAATTATAGATTATTCTAAAGACCACTTTTAAATCATGATATTTTTAGCGTATTCTGACCATTATTTTTATATCTAAAATATGAGAAGAATGCGAGTACTAATTTTTTTTTTTGTTGGTAATAAAAAGTCGACTCAAAAGAGTCGATCCAAAAGTTGAAAGTCGACTTTCTAGTAAAGTCGAACAACCCTAATTTAGTTACTGGGACTTTCTGTTACTCTGAAATCAAGATGTAGGGTTAAAAATAGCGCAGAGCCTCCAATTCTTAACGAACTTTATATATATATTTTTTTTTAATAATCTATCCTTCATTTTTCAAAACTTCATAAAAATCTCATTCATTGCTGAGAGGTTGATTTTGTGTGAGGTAGCTTCTTTAGTAGACTGATTTATCGCAGTCTTCGTATTTCTGTAAATTACCGTTATATGGTTACAGGTTTCTTAACTGCCCTTACAAGGGTCGATTTTCTGGTCAATTTTTGTCATCCAACCATCATTCGACACTTGTAAATGGCACTTCAACCCTAGTCGATTTCTCAGTCGATTTTCTAGTCGACAGAAATCGACCCATGTAAAGGCAGTTTTACCTTCACTCTCAGTAATGTTCGTACCTAGTACCATTTATTTATGAAGTGAACTGGAACTGATCAGTATAGCCCTAGTATGGTGCTTTTTTTACCAAGGGATGGTCAGCGTGGTAGACTTTATGTAAATATATTCATCTCGAAAGTGATTCACGAAATCTCTGGTTTTCCATGCCAACTTTTGATCACCATCCTTGCAAGAGTTGATTCCCCGTATGAGCGAAATTTAACGGGAATAAATTGTCGTAAAAATTGCGCGTTATTTGTAGGTGAATATTTTTTGCCGTCAACGATCAAGTGAAGACTCTTTCTGAGCTTAGCAAAAAAATAACTATTCCATAAAGAGGTACTTTGATTTCGCAAGCAACAATAGAGCTCACTGCATTTTCTCAGACATTCATTTTCCTATTATGTACGAATATATGTAAGCAGGGCCAAGGCCTAGAGCAGGACTGCAACATTACATGTGTAAGGACTTACATCTATACATACATACGTACATATAATCATAATTGCGTAAATTTGATGTGATGTGATATGAGTGAATGGTTGGTGATGAGGACCTGTCAGTTAGCGTACGTCACGAAACATCAGCGATAAGCGTTAACTGTGTTACCAACATGACAGTTGGCAGCGAAACGACAAACACCAGCTTGCTACATATGTATGTAAGCACACGAAAAGACTAGTGAGAAAGATGCTCGTCGGAAGAGTTGAGTAGGTGGTAGACAGATGCACATCACAACAGAATACATCACTCATTAATTTCTTCATTCAGTAGATTTGTGCGCAGCATTGCAATGGAATGGCGCAGAGGTTGCATAGATATATGGATAATGGTATGGTTACGAGTGCATTAGTACATGTCCAGGGGCGGATTAAGAATGTGGAGGCCCGAGGCCGTAATATATGTGGAGGCCCCTTTTTGGTTACACATCATCGTTATTTATTGACTTTTTACCACGTGTTTTCTTTTGAAATTCTCGCCAGAATTGCTATGTACTAGTTGCTCATGTTGCATGCATTATTAAACGTCTGACCTCGTCAGTCTCGTTTATGAACAGAGACGTAATAGTATGTATATTTTGTCTTTTTGATCTGACGTATTATTTCTTCCTATACTTTCTCACCTCTCAAAGTCATTATTTCATCGCAAGTTGTTGACAAATAATTCACGTTCTCTGGTCCCTTATTTCCGTATCTTTGAAATGTGCGGGGGTCGTACTTAGCTATTAGTTTCAGCGTCCCACGGAAATTTCCCTTATTGGGTGAGTTGAGAATCCCACCAGAGCCAGAAAAAGCTAAGCTAGGTTGCGAAAGATGTATTGATGGTGTTGACAAATATTCTTTACACCCAGCAATCGTTTTTTTTTATCTCAAAAAAATTATTTTTTTTTTGTTTCTTCATCACACATTCAGGGGGCCCTGTGCCTCGACCGGAGTTAACTACGTACTGTAAAATTGGCCCTTAAAGGTGGTTGAGAATCCCAATTTGTTCAGTTAAAAACACTTTGGAAATACGAGTTTCTTTTATTATTTTTATTCAGGCCGTCTAAAAGTATACTCCTTGGTAGCGTAGCAAAAAAAAAATACCTGCATGCCTCTACCGTATTTATGCATTAATTTATCCTAAATGGTACAAGCGGTACAATGAGGGCATAGATCTTTAATCTATTGTGAATTTCGCACTTTAATATTCCAACTTTAGCAGCTCATAAAGTGGTATTTCCTGCTTTGCAGTTGCCTTTTCTCTCATTTTGAAAAGTCCACTCTTCTCCAAATATTGCGGTCGCTTCAAATGTGGTCGTTCACGATAAAATTCAATAAGCGCCTTTACCGAACGTAAATGTTTAATGCCCTTAAATAACCTTGAACCGGAAAGCAACTCATCGGGGAAAACAGTGGTTATTAGCTGATCACTTGCCATGGGCACCCAAGGACGCTCGTCGTAGTGCACTGTGCGCCCGAAGGCGACATTAACCATCTTCTTTGGTACATTTTTCAATAAATCCTTGTTGTAATTTTCATATTTCAGCTCAATAGCCATCTGTTGGGAAAGTGGTGAAAATTAGTGGAGAAATCATAAACAAGTTTTCACACCCTCCAAAGCTCTTCAACTACAACTCACCTCTGGTAAATTCCACTTATCCGCCACAGCTTTGGCAATGGCCTGCACTTCCTTCGGTTCGGTTTGTATCGATACTAAACGATGTCGTTTACCCTCAATGGAGAATAAAGCTTTCAGTTGAGCTTTTGTTATGTCCGCCTCACGATTGCTACCCAACGAGTTAAGCCATTCTGTGAAGCGTTCGGCTGACTATAAGCGCACAAGTTAAAAAAGTATAAGACATGCATACATATGTATGTAGTACACCTGTATTTTTGCTTACCGCATCCATTAGCTGCTCAGCCTGTTCATCGAGTGTTTTCTCGGCTAAACTTCGCTCCAGATGGTAAATCTTTGAATCCCATTTTACACGTTCTCTGCGTGGCTTACATATGTAGCCCGAAGTCCAGTTATACTGCTTTTTGGCTTTTGCTTTACGTTGCGCGCGCGTATCGAGTTTCACTTCCAAATTTACAACTTCGTCTTCCAAACGCTCGATTTCAGAGCGTGTACTTTCATTGAAAGCAGCCTAGTGAGTAAAAGCATTACCTACTATATGAAATATTTTCAATCAATTTAACGCTTTCGCAATACCTCTTTCTTTTCTCCTTTCTGACCAGCCTCTTCATCTGTCAACGTTTCTTCCGTGTCATATGATTTGGGTGTTTCCACCGCTGATTCGTCAATATACACCAAGCGGTCATACTCGTCGAACTCATAGGGCATTATCTTCTTGATACGCTCGCGTAAATCGTCTGGTAGGGTAACTGAGAGATCGTAGTCTTTGATAATGTCTTTGAGCGTTTTTTGATGCGCTGCATCCTCAATTTCGTGTATAACCGCCTTCCAATATTCCCTGTTGAGCAACATATTTGCCAAGAGTACCTAATGATTAAAAAACAAGCGTTTAGTAAAAAAAAATAAATGCCCAGATTACAAAAAAAAATATCTGTTTTTATGTTGTAAAATTAATTTGCCTCTATGTTTAGGACGGAATTTATGTTCAAATTAGAATTGGAATTTGTTTAGGGGTTGAAAATTTTGCTTTTATCGTTTGCCTGTCGCCAGGGTAACTTTGAAAGTTGTTTGCTTGATGGTTGGTTTGAAAGTGTGTATGAATGTGAAGTTGTGCTTGCAATGCTTTGTGGGCTACAGAAGCTTTTTCGCTTGATTGTATGTTTTGGTGGTTCGTGTCAGGGAAAAACTGTTATACTACTTGCCTTATTTACATTCACAATAATTTAAAATATTTTCATAATAAATCTGATGCAGGGTTGTAAATTTACAGGGTGCGCTTGATGATAAATATTTTTCCGTTCCCAACGTTCTTTTTTGCAGTTTGCTTTTAATCGGGATTCAATTTTAAATTTTCCAAATTAATTGGAAAGCTTCAAGTAGCTGCACTGCCTATTTAGGGGGAAATTGAATGAAATTATTAGATGCATGAACTTAAAAGTGTATATATGTATGTATGTAATTGTACAATCTCTGTGAAATGGCATCAATCGTCAAAAATATTCTATGCTATTAGTTTAATATTTTCTTAGTAAAAAAAAAAGTTATGCGGTTATATTTAAATAATAAAATTTAAATTTCAAAAAATGCATTTTCAAGAAACTGCACCACAAAATATATACTATGTCAGTCGAACGACTAACATTATTGTTTTAGGGTTAAAGTAAAATCACCAGAGGGGGAGATCCTGTAACAAGTTAGCGACAATATTCGGGTCGACGCAACAAAATCCATATAATATGCCAACAAGTGCGATAGCGTTCCGAAAATTGTCGCTAACTGCTTACAAAATTCCCTCCCCAGCAATCGCATTAGCCCTGAATTACATCTCAAAAATAATTGTCCCACAAACACCTGTCGTATATCGGTAGGAGCCCAGAGTAAAATAATTAAATATTAAAAAAATGTGGTGTTTTTAATTAATGGTCTGTTTAGGTATATATTCAACTCTTTATTGGAAAAAGACTAATGGAAATCAATATTATTACTTTTTTTTTCTCCACAACTTGTCAAAATCTCTTATTATAGGCTTACAAAAGGACATATTTGAAAGACGAGATCCCCAAAAATTATCATTGAGAAGAGGAACTTCTTTATATGCAAGTTTTTTCGTTCAACAAGTTGTCATCAGGACGATGCTATTTAGCCATCAACGTGAAAATTTCGAGTATCTATTTCTCCTCATTCATCACCTTATCTAAATGATATTTTTCGTTGTTACATTGAAACCAAAAAGAACCAAAAAGACTATACAGGGGTCTCAATTTGATATTGAGTTTTTTCTCAAATTAATAACCAAAATACATACGTAATATTTTTTAGTACACTTTTTATATTATTAATGGTTATATTCATACCGAAAATTGATACTGTTAAAAGTGTCATTTTAATACAACGCGTATTAAATCAATACTAATGCTGTTTTTTTAGAGTGTAAGGACTACATGCAAGAAAAATCCATTTGTTTGAGGTTGTAAGTAAGAAAGCTCAAGACAAACAAAATTGAATTCTGTTTGAAATACAGTAAATATATCTTTTCATTAGAAGCTGTGAAAGGGTTAATAATTGAAGGGGTTAGAATCAAAAGGAGCTAAGTAAGTCTGACATTGTTTTGATATAATTAAGGTTAAAGTTCAAAGAATACTTACTGCAAATGGAAAAAAACGAAATATTCTTTTTTGTGTCACTTGGATCCTTTTACTTCTGAGTACCTACTTAGGTAAATTTCTGTAAGGAAATAAATGGAAAAGGTTATTTTTATGGAAATCTACATTTGATTATTTAAAAAAGTTATAATATACAACATTAACTCTACTAAAATATATCTAATCATCGAAATCCGACAAAACGCTGCCGTGGGCTTCATCTGATTCTGTACTTCTTTTTGAACTAAAATCGTCTTTTGACTTTGCTTCCTAGAACTATTGTTGTTTGCTTTTGTCTCATGGGGAATATTTAAATTAAAATCTTGATGAATAGGTGGAGTAAATGGTAGAAATTGATGTAATGTGGAACGATTTTCCGTCATCCCTTGTCAAATTTGGTTTGGAGACAAACCGGTTTCGGCGTTGTGCCATCTTCAGTATAATTTTTCGTTTCGTTTCGAGAACGAAAAATGACACTGAAGATGGCACAACGCCAAACCCGGTTTGTCTCCAAACCAAATTTGACAAGGGATGACGGAAAATCGTTCCACATTACATCACACTCCTACCCTGTCGGAAATACCAACAACAAAAATGAGGTAGAAATTGAGTTAAATTTTTCCATTTTAAGCAGGGAATCTACGGTGGAGTTGGATATAAGGGCTTAAACACATCAAAAATCAACCAACACGCTTAACTCTTTAAACGCTAGTGTTACATATATGTCACGCTCGAATTTCACAGACTAATAGCGTTGTTATGAACATTTTTATTGCATAACAAAGATTCAAGAGTGTTACATATAAGTTTCAGGTCGTACATAGAGGTCGAAACTTTTTACTATCGGTTTTTGTACATATCCTCACTTTTAGTATCCTCCAAAATTTGGTTCCTCTAAATTTCCTCTTTTGCTTTCGCGTTTAATGAGTTAAACAAATCTTCATGACTTGAAATGACTTGGATCTCTCATGTCACTAAATAAACACTAAATTTAACGATACAAATGTGGGTATAACTTATATTTTCAAAAAATGTCACATAGACTCTTATTATTCTAACCCCTTCAGTTGTCTCCTTTACGCTGTTCTTAAGGTTTTTAGTTCAAATAGTGGTCATTTGACCTATTGTGTATTGGGTACCGGGGCGTATGATGAATGCGAGAATGGGCAACCATTGGGTTGAAGTGTAAAATAACTGCAAAGTCTTGACGCGATTCTAGCATGAATATGTATGTGATGATTATGTCAAAGCGTACCTTATGCCTCAAAGTTAAAAATCTTACTTTGGATTTTAGACGTAATTCCAGCATTTTTGGATTTAAAACCATTGTGGGGCGCTTAAAGAAGCCATGTTCCTGGTTTTATTTTAAAGACAACAATACGCTCAATGGCTACGATGCATACATTGCTATATAAATACGCTTGCGTATGTTTGCTTAGGTTTAGTACCAATACTATCCCATCTACTAATGTACATACATCCATACATCGACTATCTAACTAAGCTCACACAAAGGGCATTTTATGCATATCAAAATAAATCAGTTTGCTTATTCGGACCTTTATTAAATGAGTACAAAGAACTGCTTCCCTTCAGTAAACTTTTATCAATAAATCCAACTGTGAGAGTGTGCCAAAAATGTGCATAAATATCACCTCAAATGTCATGTAAACAATTTAAACCACAGCAACTTGCTTTACAAACATAGTGAATACAAATTCCTTAAATAGTTTATTAGAAACAACAACTAAATGATATAATCTAAATAAATGTGAACGTTTTGACACAAGCAAATACCTATGAAAACAAACAAAAACATGCACACAAACACAAGTGCACTTATTTATAATCTAAAGCAAATCTTAAAATCAAATCAACTTCTTAACTGTTTCAATAAACGTGTCTTGCATACGTAAACAGGGTAAATACATTCATTTCCACTTAGAGCGCACTTACTTACCTACACAAACGAACTCAAATCGAACTGCATGTACATACATACATACATAAGTACGAGTAGCGAATACACAGGTGAAATAAATGGAGGAGGTGTGGGATGTGGGCAGTGTCCGCCTATTGTTGTGTTATAGTGCATGAAAGTCTATGGACTACTATTTTTTCACCACCCATAGTTTCATTCATTTTGGTCTTTGTATGTGTATATTTGCATTTGTTACGTTTGTACATTTACTTCTGTATAATATTATTGTATTGTTGTTGATTTTTGTTGAAGTTGTTTGTGTGTGCAGGTGCTATGTTGACACTATATGTCACCACACCGAGGCGCCCTGCCACTTATTTGCTCTTTCATCCAGAAAACGCTTTTTGTTACATTCGGTTTTTGGTTTGTTTACATTCATTTTTTATTTGCGGTTCTTCGCCCTGCCAAGAAAATCGCCTACATTCATGTGTGGGAGCCAAAGTATATTGAAAACCCTTTAGTAAAGAGCTCGTTAAAAAGCCAGCCGGAAAACTGGGGTTTAAGCAAGATCAAAACAGGCCGTCGTATCGAGTCATGTTAAGAAAAAATGTTACAATTAAAATCAATAAGAAAATTCCTCTGCATACGATTACCAAATCCTCACATAGTACATACATATACGACTGTATAGAAAAATCAAACTTTTTCCATAATACAAAAGGTTCTGATACCGGACTCTGGTAGAAAGAACGAAAAAAAATATATTTCAGTTTTATTTTAGAAGGGATACAAGGAAATTAGCCATTTGAAACTTGCACTTTGTTAAACAGAACTTTAATGGTCACACTACAAACCTACCATTTTAATAGAGATAAAAAATTTTTAAGAGAGTTTAAGAAGTTTTTTTTTTATAAAATTAAAACTTTTGCGGATCTAAATTTGTTTAGCTCTCACTCAAATCGCTTGAAAATTTTAGGCTCTCACGACATCTCCTATTGAGAATATTTACGGGTGAAACCGGATTTTAAAATTCTTATTCCAATGGTACACAGCTGTTTAATATGATTGGTACAAACCCAAATTTTTCCAATCAATCGATTGAGCTACAAATTTGCGAAAATATTTTGTAAAAAATTAAAAGCCGTGTGATCCGGTCCCTTGAATCAGAATTTGCATTGAACCAGATTTTCCTACGATTTTTAACAATCTCAGACAGTGTTTTGAAAAAAATCTTAGTTGCTTTTAAAGAACATTTCTGGTCTTATCAAAAAGGTATTTGCATAGGTGCG